AGGAACTTGGGCATGGTAAGTGCCTGTAACCAAAAGTAGAATTACAGAGGGAGGAGGATTCCTGGTGCTCAATGTCCAGCCAGTCTAGTCCAGTGAGAGATCCTGTCTCAAAAACACACAGACTGGTAAGATTGCTCAGTGGGTAAGGGTGGGCACAACCAAGCCAGACAACCTGAGTTTCATCCCCACAACCTCGATGGCGGAAGATGACTGACTCCCTCGGGTTATTCTCTGACCTCCACATGGATGCCATGACACACACACACAGGCCTGCACATATACATTCACACACAGTAATAACTTTTTTTTAAAGGTATGAGTGATGAGGAAAGACACCAGCTCGACCTCTGACCTCCACATAGATGGGCACATGTACACACAGAAAAGAATTTTAGAACTGAGACGAGATCTGGGCAGGGCCAGGGCTTAGGAATCCTGTTCCTACCACGTGGGCACTAGGGAGTCCACGACACCGAGGCCCAGGGATTACCGATCCACTGGTTCTTCCTCTTTTCTCTCTTTTATGAAGCAGGCTGCCTCTCCATCCCTTGCTTGCTGACCACAGGTCCTTCTGAGTCATCAGGACCAATAGGGTTCTCCTAGACTGTGGTCACCATGGCGACTGAGCTAGGCAGAGAGGATTCTGATGGACTTCACTCAGCATCCCCTCCTCCCAAACCATCTTTTCTGGTGGTTGGCCCAGCCCCCCTCCCCTTCCTAGTCTCTAACACCACTCCCAACCCCATCTCTTTGGGGACTCTTGTGTCTTCTTTTTGGTCAAGACAGGGCCTGGATATTTTGAGTCTACTAAATTTGAATCTTTTTTAGTTGGTTGCCTTTTTTTTTTCTTGAGGCATTATCTCATATATCACAAACGGGTAGCATCAAGGACGACCTTAAACTCCTGGCCATCCTGCCTCCATTTCCCAAGTGCTAGACTGGTTTTGAGTGCTGGCTGGAACCCAGGGCTTTATGGGTGCTAGAAAGCCACTCCACCAAACGCTCTGTGTCCTTAGCTATTTAGTCCTTTGTCAATTTAGTTTTTGGTTTTTGGTATGTACGTGTGTGTGTGTGTGTGTGTGTGTGTGTGTGTGTGTGTGTGTGTGTGTATCTATTTTGTTTTGTTGTTTTGTTTTGTTTTTTAACTCAAGCTCACTATGTAACCCAGGCTAGCCTGGAATCCAAGCTCCTTCTACCTCAGCCTCCCAAGGAGCTGGGATTACAGGTGTGCACCATCATACCCCACTTGTCTTTCTTTATCTGTGGGACTTGGCTTGGTTGTTCCCAGGCTAGAGATATTAGGCAAATTGCTGGTCTCTTTCCAGCATCTGTGTGGCGGGGACACCCATGCTTCCTCTACAGGCTCCTTGCTGTGAGCATTGTATCACAGTCCACTTCTTGCTATATCGCTATCCTACTCTGTGACAAGAATGGGGTCGTAAGGTCTTAGCAGGAGCCTGGGATTGTATGAAGTCTCTGGGTTCATATCCACGGAGGTGCCATATACACGGTGTTGTGTGACGTTCCCTGGGGAAAACATCAACAAACATGGTGCCAGATCCAAGAACGGATTCCACCCCGGTCTAGCTTATTGAGCCAGTAAGTTTATTGGGGTTACTTACAGGAACATGGAGGAGACAAAGGCAGCTGCATCACCAAAAGCCCTGACCAGCATGGGTGATGAACTGCGTCCCTGGAGCTTCCCACACAGCTCAAAGGCAGCTCCACCACAGAGAGTCTCCTTTCCCTAGCAACTGTATTAGCGGCTTTGGAGTCTTGTAAGTTTCAGGATCTTCCTGAGCCCTGTGAGGTCTGGAGTTTGGGTATTTTGTTATTTGCTTTGTTTTGGTGAGCGTAGTCCCACTATGGTAAGCCTGGCCTGAAACTCACTGTATAGACCAAGCAGGTCTTGAACTCACAGAGATCCACCTGCCTCAGCTCCTTAGTGCTAGGATTAAAAGTTGGTGTCACCATGCCCAGAGCCTTGTGAGTTTTTTTGACGTCCTGTGTTTTCCGGAGCTCTCCTCCAGAAGGGAATGTTTCTGTTTAAAAACATAGCTACATGGGTATTGGTTACAGTTACTCTCTGACCTCTACATACACACCATGGGGTACACACCCACTCAGATGCATCATGCACACACACACATAGAACATAACCAATAAGGGGCTGGATGGCTCAGTGGCTAGAAGCACTTACTGCTCTTGCAAAGGACCCAACTTAGGGTATTACTGCTGTGAACAGACACCATGACCAAAGCAAGTCATATAAAGGACACCATTTAATTGGGGCTGGCTTACAGATTCAGAGGTTCAGCCCATTATCATCAAGGTGGGAGCATCACAGCATCTAGACAGGCATGGTTCAGGAGGAGCTGAGAGTTCTACCTCTTCATCTCAAGGCTGCTAGGAGAAGACTGACTTCCAGGCAGCTAGGATTTTTTTTTTTTTTTTTTTTGGTTTTTCGAGACAGGATTTCTCTGTGTAGCCCTGGCTGTCCTGGAACTCACTCTGTAGATCAGGCTGGCCTCGAACTCAGAAATTCACCTGCCTCTGCCTCTCAAGTGCTGGGATTAAAGGCGTGCGCCACCACTGCCCAGCTAAGATGATGGTCATGATGGTCTTAAAGCCACAGTAACACTCCTACTCCAACAAGGCCACACCCTCTAATAGTGCTACTCCCTGGGACGAGTACATACAAACCGTCACAGGTTCCCAGCATCCATGTGTGTGGCTCACAACCATTCATAGCTTCAGTTCCAGGGAATCAGATGACCTCTTCCGGCCTCCAAAGGTAACAGCATTCACCTGTGTGCGTGATTCCACACACATGTGCACACTCCTACACCCCCACACACAAACACACCCACACAGAGACATAAAATAAATCTTGAGGCTAGAGTGATAACTTGGGGTTTAAGAGCACTGACTGCTCTTGCAGAAGGCCTGGGTTCCATCCCTAGCACCCATGTGGTGTCTCACACCCATCTGTAACCCACCCTAGCCCCATGAGATCCCCTCTTCGAGCCTCCAAGGGCATTAGGTATAAATGCAGTCTACGGGGATACATGCAGGCAAAACACCAATGTACATAAATTTAAAAAAAAAAAGGAAAGCTTCTTTAAATTTTATAAAAAAACAAAAAAAATAGTCTTTAGAATCAAATTAAATTTTTCATTGAAGTAGGAATTCAGGGCTGGAGAGGTGGCTCAGTAGTTAAGAGGACCTGAGTTCAATTCCCGGGCCCCACACAGTGGTTTGCAATCATCTCTAACTCCAGTTCCGGTGGATCGGATGCCCTCTTCCAGTCTCCATAGGCACCAGCACACACTTAGTGCACAAACAAGAAGAGAACGCGCACATAAAATAATAGTAATAAGATAGACTTCTTCTAAAAGAAGTAGGACTTCACTATGGCATTACCAACTCTGCTTTACAGTGAAGGAAACTAAAGCCGGACACAGATAAAACAACTTGACAAGTGTTTCAGGCACCTGGCATACCATCTGCCATCCAGGATGTCACCTACTTAGCCCTCCTTAGATGGGACCTTTGGCTCATTTGTTGGTTGAATGAGGACACTAAGGGCTGGAGATGTGACACAATAGATAAAAGCACTTGCTGCCCTAGCAGAGGACTTGAGTTTGGTCCCCAGCACCTATGTCTGGTGACTCAGAAACGTCAGTAATTCCAGCTCCGGGGGGAGGGGGGAGGTGTCCAGCGCCCTCTTCTGGCCTCCTCAGCAACTGCAGTCATCTGTACATACCCAAAGAGACACACACACATACACACACACACACACACATACACACATAAATAAAAATATTTTTAAATGAGGAAACTGAGACCCAGAAACAGACAAAACAGTCTCTTAAGGCCTCCGCCATCCATCCACCTCTGCCTACCCCTGGAGCACTCGGCCTGGTCTGACATGGGAATACCCAGGCCCCAGCCATGTCATCAACACTCTCCTCTGTGTCCCTCACCCCCTGCAGAGCTGCCCTCCTCAGAGCACCTGAGCGTGGCTGATGCCACCTGGCTGGCCCTGAACGTGGTGTCTGGTGGCGGGAGTTTCTCCAGCTCCCAGCCCATCGGTGTGACAAAGATTGCCAAGTCTGTCATCGCCCCACTGGCTGACCAGAACATCTCCGTGTTTATGCTGTCCACCTATCAGACTGACTTCATCCTGGTGAGTCAACGTCGTGGTGAGTGGCCGTGCTCAATCCCAACTTTCTCCGTGTAACACACACACACACTCACACACACACACTGCTTCTAGCACACTCATTCTCCTGTCCCGTCTGCTGCTCCACTCCTCACCTCAGGAGATGGGGAGATCTGGGACTCAGAGACTCTGCTTCCTGTCCTCAGGTGCGAGAGCGTGACCTGCCCTTCGTCACTCACACCTTGTCCTCGGAGTTCACCATCCTACGGGTTGTCAATGGAGAAACGGTCGCGGCTGAGAACCTCAGCATCACCAATGGCTTTGTGAAGCCCAAGATGGGTGAGTTGGGATGGAGGGAAAGGTCCCCAGTAGAAGGTCCCACTCTCAGAAGACACCTGCTGTTCACTGGATTCCAAGTGATGCAGCCAGCAATGGCCAGAGATCGCTCCCAGACCAGACCAGCTCACAGTGCCTCAGGGTGGCTACTTGCAGTAGGGACCATGGAGTTGAAGCTTGGAGCACAAGGAGCTTAGCCAGGTGGTGGCTGTTGGCTAGGACATTCTCAGCAACCAGAACACCATGTACAAAGGCCCAGGGTCCTGAAGGGAAACTTAAGAATCCATGTAGTGTGTGTGCTGGGGGTGGAAAAGCTAAGGTTGAGCCCAACTGCTACACACAGATGCTCTACTCTGGCCTTGATACTTGTGTCCTATCCTCTTCCAGTCCAGAGGCCAGTGATCCACCCACTATCCAGCCCAAGCAACAGGTTCTGCGTCACCAGCCTGGACCCTGACACGCTGCCCGCCGTTGCCACCCTCCTCATGGATGTGATGTTCTACTCCAATGGGTAGGTCCCTGGGGTTAGGTGCTGGGGTAGGGGACAGACATGGAAATACTGTTCCACCCAGGAGCCCTGTCTGAGGGCAAAGACCTTATTCCACCCAAGAGCTCAGTCTGAAGGAGAAGACCTAACTCTAACTGTAAGCCTAGTCTGAGGGAGGAGGCACCATCTGCCCAGGAGCCTGGTTTGAAGGGGAGACACACAGACCTGCCCAAGAAGCAAGTCTAAGAGAAGAGGCCTGGTTGCACCAAGGAGCCCAGTCTGAGTGGAGAAGGGACTCTTCTACCCTAGAGCCCACTCTGAAGGGGGAGGCGTATATGTGCCTATCTAGCTATTAAATTCTTCCTACCCTCTCATGGTGTTTTCTGAACCTTGATGGTAGGGTTGGGGGTTAATACAGATGTCTCATTTAGGACTGGTCACTCAAGAGTCTCCCCCAGTGCCTTAACCAGGTGAGTCTCGGCATTAACTGCCGCCTGATGCAGAAAGGTGCTCTCCTCGCTAAAGTTGAGGGCAGCACTAATCCATGAGTCATGAATATAAATATTTAGAAGGCAAAATAACAACTAGGTTTTTCCCAAGGGCCTGTAACCTCCCAAGCCACGGGCTTTTGACCAGGTTTCCAGTACCTGGTTTACAGAATTCCCTCCTGTAAAGCAGGTCCTAGAGGCAAGCAGGAAGTGGTTGGTTACCCCAGTAACATCATGCCACTATGACACCAGTGGCTCCGCCTTGCCTGGCGAGTTGATATTGTAACATTCAGGGTCTAAGACTTCCGGGGGCTTCTGATGGAGGCAAGACACGCCCCAAGCCCAGCCTCTCACACTGGTGGGTGGCGGATAGCATGAAGGAAACCCCACCCTCACGGTTTCTTCTTGATCCCCAGAGTGAAGGACCCCATGGCTGCCAGTGACGATTGTGGCCACATCCGCTTCTTCTCCTTCTCACTCATCGAGGGTTACATCTCACTGGTGATGGATGTACAGACCCAGCAGAGGTGAGCAGGGCCCTGTGTGGATATGACAGGGGGTCTGGGCGGGAGCGTGGACTTTCTTCCTGTTCCGTCCACCCTATCTCCTTCACTGGAGTTGTTCCTATAGGTGCAGGGGTCATCCCAGGTCCACAGCAAGATGGTGCCAAAGTGGAGATTGGAACCATAGTCCCAAAGCCACCCGTCCCCAGTGTCTCACCCCAGCATTAGCTTCCCACCCTGCTGCCAATGGCACCGACACGTCCTTTAATCTTGGACTCTGTCCCACCTGAGATACACCAGAGCAGGGGGAGAACCAGTTAGCCCTGCCTCAGACGCCTCTTACTTCCTCTCTAGGTTCCCGAGTCATTTGCTATTCACGAGTGCATCTGGAGAGCTCTGGAAGATGGTGCGAATAGGAGGACAGCCCTTGGGATTCGGTGAGCCCGAGGGCTCCAACGCCTCTATGCAAGAGTCAGGCAGGCAGTTCCCAGGGCGCCTGGCCAGGTCCACCCTATGTAGTGGTCTAGACAGGAGATTGATGCTAAAGGAGACTGAAGCCCCTCTTCTGACAGATCCCTTGCCAGTGGTGTGACATATATAGGAAGGCCTCGGGAGATCAATGAGTGGACTTTACCAGAGGGCTCTTACCCCATCCCGCAAGCTGAAAAATACAGTGGGACTGGGGGCGTGGCTCAGTGGTAGAGCCCCTGCCTAGAATCCCCCAGT